CATGTCTATTGAGAATACGTAGGCATAGGACTGCGAAGTCCTACCGAGTCTGTTCATTCTCTTTTTCCCGTTCTCTCTTTCCTCTCTTTCCTTGTTTCTAACCCTTTCTCTCTCTCTCTCCCTTTGGAACACATTCTTATAGCATAATATTTAAGCAAATAAATTCACACATCGACAAACAAAAGGTTCCCATCGAGTACGATGGATGCGAGGGGTGCTAATACCTTCCCCTCGCATAACCGGCTTCCGAACCCGTTCTTGGTCGCGAGACCATCTTATCCATTTTATTTTCTTAAGGTTTTCTCGATATTTTCCTTTCCCCTCATGGGATAAATAAAGTTCGGTGGCGACTCTTCTGTCCTTTCTCTTCGCCTCCCCGTCGTTGCACGATGCATTTTTCGAGTAGCGACATGGTATAGTTCAATATAGATTTTAACATATTATTAGTGCATTAACACCATAATAAGAACAACATCAACATAATTTTTAAATAACCTTCAACATAGTTACTAGTGCATTATCAGTAGTAGCAGAATAATGACTTTCAACATACTTACAAAAATACTTACTAGTGCATCAATAGTAGTAGCAGAAGAATAACCTTCAGCATACTTTAAACTTACTCTCAAATATTTGTATGACAGTGGCATAGTAATAATAAAGATTAGCATAACTTATTAATTACCAATTTTCTAAGGAAGAGATGGCAAAACCTAAGGAAGAGTATATCTATTGTTCCTGTTTCTTATTATTCTCTTCCTTAGGTTTTGGTAAGAACCTGTTAACAATCTCTTTCAATAATCCATAATCAGAAGTACTCTTTAGGAAAAAACTCATTATCTTCATCAGCAGAAACTTTTGAATCATTATTGTCTATTATATCGTTTGATGATTTGAAAAGACCTCTAAGACAATACCATGCGATCTTATCTATACTCTTGTCTCCTTGTATCCTCTTTGATCTTATCCTCCTAATCTTATACTATAGTTTTCACCAATCATTCAAGTAGCCAATAGTTTCTTAATATTCATTTATCTATATATAGTAATAGCTATACAAGCATTTACAGCCAACACAAATCATTCAAATCCTAAGGGATTAGAATATCAAAAACTTTCCCTTGCTTACAAGCCTTTTTAAAAATATCTTCTTTTTAAGTCTAAACGCATACAAAAATAGGTTTTCGTTTTCCAAGCATGATCATAAGAGCATCATATTCAAAAGCTATGGCCATGCCAAAAGGATATGTTGCTGTGTATGTTGGAGAGAAACAAAAGCGGCACCGGCACCAGACAGATGCAGAGAAGCACTAGCAGAGAAGCGGCACCGGCACCGGACAAATGCAGAGAAACACTAGATAATTTGAGTTAATTAACTATCTCTAACTCAATGACCCACCAAAATAACACAGGGCTAAGAATTATAATCAAATTATTACCTTTTTACCAGGATGAACCGAAAATGCGCACACCGCTGAAAACTCGCGCACTATTACATTTGAAAATTGAGACCTATGAAAACAAAACCGTTAGATTTATCGGCAGAAAATAGAGAAAGTTGAAGGAGAACATTTACACACACAAGTTTGGGATGAATGTTAGGGTTTGAGAGAAGAATCAATATGGGTGAAGAACAAAATGTTAGAGTTTGGGAGAAGCTCGTACAATGAAGAATCAATTTGGGATGAATATTAGGGTTAAGGAGAAGCTCGTACCTTTGAGAGAATCGTTCGATGAAGCTCGTATTTGGGAGGGACAATGAATCGGTTTGAGAGAAGCTCGTGGAGGGAGTCGAAAATTTTACTCGTGGGGGGAGACTGAAACGTATGAGAACGGTGGGAGGGAAAGAAAATTTTACTCGTGGAGGGAGATTGAAAATTTTTTTAGTAATAATATTTTATTAAAATAATTAAAAATTATATAAGAACGGTTCTAGCCGTTGCTAATAGGAGCCGTTCTCATTTCTCTCTATCAGAACGGTTTCGGGCCGTTGTATAAAATTTACAAAAAACTAAATATGCTACAACAACAAATTATATAATTAGTTGCCTATTACTCTCTACGAGAACAATTTTTTTACTTCCTGAAAATTAGGCGTTGCTATAGAGTAAAAATGTTGTAGTGGGAGAAAACAAAGACACTTTATCAAGTTATCTCTTCCAACGACTAGTCTTCTACAACTACTATATAAGTAGCTGAAGGTTCAATCTGAATCTTTAATAAAGGAATAAGAAGGAGAAGAAATGCCAAGAAGATTATAAGTGTTTAACATTTCTATCTGAATGAAGACATAACAAGATCAACAATGAACAACACTATTGAATATGCAGAATCTTCTATTACTTGTTGTAAATTGTAACAAGCCTTAAGATTTCCTAAACATTGAATATCTTGGAAATATTAAATGCTTAAGGCCTTTGTTAAGGTGATTACCATATACCTTTGATCTTAGTATCAAGTACACATTGTTCTCTATTTTGCTGAACATGTTATTTAGCAGTTTAGATCAAAGTCTTTTGCTAAGTGCTTGAGCATAAAAGTATCTAGTTGAAAAGCTTGAGCCAAGTAAGTTTCTTTCTATGTGCTTGAGCATTGAAAGTCTTGATCTGTTTTGATTAAGCAAGTGAAGTCTTAGATTAAGAATCTGAGCAAAGAAGTCTTAGACGGTGCATCTGAGAAGTGAAGTCTTGAATCGAGGATATGAGCAAAGAAGTTTTAGAAAATTTGTCTAAGCAAGGAAGTCTTGACCTAGGAGGGTTTAAGCAAGGGAAATCTTAGGATCTGAGAATCTAAGCAGAGAAGTCTTCATCAGGTACTAATTGAGCAATAAGTCTTAGGCTGTAGGTTTGAGCAGTAAAAGTCTTATGCTTAAGTGCATAAGCAGTTGTAATCATGAGTTAATTGTAGTGAAAAATCTCTTGCGTTGCAAAGGGATTGAACTACTCTCAGTTTATAAGGAACTAGGATAAATCTTTTGTGTTCATTGTTCTGTTTGGTTTACTTTTGTTGTATTTTCTGCTGCACTTGTTATCAGGTTCTTAACTAATGTTTATAATTTGAACTCTGTTCAGAAGCATAAACGTTTTTAGTTAACACAATTCAACTTCCCTTCTTGTGTATTTTCCTCACCTTCAAATTATTACAAAACCAAACAGATACACTCAAAACAAAATAAACATACCTAGCTTGATTGTGCAAGGTTTGAGTTTTTAAAATGGAGAAATCCTCCTTAAATAGCAACAAGTTCTAGCATTAAAGCCCATTAGGATTTTTGTCTTTGAACGCGGATGAACATTCCACAAGCGTAACCAACCAATCTTCATTATATTGATTGACAACATTTGATTGATTAAATCTTGATCATATTAGAAATCCTCTATTTTAATATTGATCATAATGATATTTTGGGGAAACTTCCTTATTCCAAAAGCGCATAAAATATTAAACATGATTAGATAAATAAGTAAACAAATTTTCAATCAGTGCGAGACTTACTCAGCGCTAAGAAGCTTCTGGGCGAGACACAATGTCTCATAGTCTAGGAAACATTATGCTCAACATGTTGCTTCATTATTTAAACACAGAGAGACTAAACGTCACACACAATATCATGACATCTTACTTCACATTTTGCCTATAAAATTATGTCAATTAGATGTAATAACAAACTCCATTTTTGGCAAGAAAATACAACATGCAAGATCAAAGACATAGTGCAAAGGACGGTGGGAGCGAAAGAAGTCATCTAGGAAGGCCGATCAAAGACATAGTCCAAACCATAATAAATTTTCAGAGTAATGTCACCCATATCAATAGAAATAGTAATGGGCTTGCCCATTTTATGGCCTAAACTGCCATCAAAAATGGAAATGTTTTCAACTTATGTAATTGGGTTGAGCCAACATTTTACATGAATAATATTTCTTTGATTTTTGATTTTAAAAATAATAATTATAATCTTTTTTATGTTAAAAAAAAACTTACTTTTATATATATATATATATATAATAACATCAAATATTATTAAGATCAATAAAAATCTAAGTCAATATTTTAGAGCTCCCCGCATTCACACATATTCAATACCAAACATTTGAACAAGATTGAATTGTAATAAATATGAAACAAAATAAAATTCTTAACGTATAAATTAAATTTGTTAATCTCCGCGCTTATTTTGGCTTTACACTCTTGTGTCATTTTCTGCAGCAACACTTTGTAGTAAGTTTCAACAATAACCGCATAAATATGAATAATAATACTATTATTTACATCACTAATACAATAATCTTATTTCTTTTTGCAAGGTACGCATCCTAAAATTGTTGACAGATCTGACATTCCGTAATTCTCAAACATAGATTAAATTACATTAAAAAACTTATTGATATCTCCTCATTGTGTGCTCCAAGTCTCATTTCACCATACTCTATAATACTCGTACTACTATATCCTACGTAATGCAATTTTCAACGAGATTGAAATTCTCACACCCCTTGCCCACGCTCACTAAGCACATACTTCCATATATTATTTTTTTACCTATTGCACCCTATTCTGCAGACCAATCGTCTCCCATTTTTTCAACTTCTATGTCTTCCTTATTACCCATAAATATCTCCTTGATTTTGCCACGTGTCACCAAGTTTCATCACAAATCATACTACTATATTTGTAGGGTTGAATCTGCTCTTCCGAGTCTCAGGTTCGAATTCTGTTAAATGCTGACAATTACTGTATTAGATTAGTCCATGTAAAATAAAACTCTGCTTTTAAATAGTTCTCGCAAGTGGATAGTGAAATTGATCTCTTAAATTAGTCGGTTTTGGATCAGATATCAGATACCGAGTCTTCAAAATAAAATAAAAAAACTATGTAGTATAGTACGTACAATAGTACCATGTCATGTTATATTCATATTATTTGTGACCATCTATTTAGTTTTGAAATTGTAGGTATTTTCAAATTAGTTTTTCTTTCACTATAGCGTTGCCACTACCATGACTTCTTTTGTTACTATCATCATTTTGGAACTTCTTTTGTTGTTCTTCCCTTTTACTTCTTCTCTAAAACAACTACAAACAAAACTAGTTCAACCACCTATGCTTCCAAATTCATGCAACGAAACATGTGGAAAACATCATGTTCCATTTCCATTCTACCTCAACAACACTTCATGTGTATCATCTTTGTCATCTTCTTTTCACCTCACTTGCACAAACTCATCCACCCTTTTCATCAAACTAGCTTCACAAAACTATCGCATTTTGGAAATTTTCTCAGACGGTTTGTTAGTAGACTTTCCCGGCGCGTCGTCGTGTCGCCAATACAACGACTTGAACTCGTTCGGCGAGAGGTTTTTCGACGGAAAGAACTATTTCGGCGTATCGGTGGACAACGTTGTTGGTCTCTATGATTGCGAAGATTCTTCGCTTTGTAAAGCGGATTGTGAAACGGTTAACCTTCCTGGTTGTGATGGAAGTGTTGAAGGTGGTTCTCTTGGATGTTGTTATCCACTTTCTGATCATAGTATATGGCATGTTGGTGAAGGTTTTTCGGTTTTTTCGAAGTTTGGATGCCGAGGGTTTTCTAGTTGGGCTGTTATAAGAGGCTCTTATTCAGGGAAAAGAGGGGTGAAATTGGAATTTGCTATTCCTAGAAACTTTTCTAAGGAGATTTGTGCTAAGAATGCAGCAGTTGTGAATTCTACATCGGTTAAAGATGGTGTAAGGTGTGTTTGTCAAGATGGATATGTTGGTGATGGTTTTGCTAATGGGACAGGATGCTTATTATGTGAGTAGTTTTCACTTTTAATCATTATGGTTTTGCTTATGATAGAAGCACTTATATAGGTATTTGGAAGAACTTATGAAATATTTACAACTTTTGTTCACCTTCTTTTCATAAGCTCTTGAAAATAGTTAATGTAAAGGGCTTATATAGAGTTTTAAATCATTCTCTTTTTGATTGTGGAAATATCTGGTACATAAGCACTTTTATAATAAGCGATTAAATAAGATGTTTATTGTCATAGTCATGACATCTGCTTTTGCTTGATGTATTTCCATTGCAGCCTGTATCAAAGATGGAAAGGAAGCATATGGAAGTGACTGCTACATCAAAAGACATGATCAAAGAAAAATGGTCATCATTGCTGGTAAGTATCATAGCATTCTAAACTTTTAAATAAATCTAAACTCGGAGACGTAGGAAAAATCGATCAAACTTCGCGATTAAACTCTATTTATTCTATTTTTGCATTTTTCGTATCTGTCCACGTAGATTGTCTCGTTGATATGCTTTTAGGCCGATTTCGTGATATACTTATTATCATGCAGGAATCCTTTGTCCAGTTCTTATTGTTGCCTCCTTAGCCACACTATTTTATCTTCTAAAGCGAAAAGAAAAGCCAGGAATGTTCGACTCCGAGCAAGCTTATTACCACAACATTTCGTTCCGAAAAGCGTGTAGAACTCGACTATTCAGCCACCATGAACTAGAACAAGCCACCAATGGTTTTGAAGAGAACAGAAAACTCATGCAATGTAATAACACCGCAATGTTTTCTGGTGTCCTTGGCGATGGATCACATGTAGCTATACACAAATTATCAAAATGTGAGAATGAAAATGACATGATGCAAGTCATGTCACAAATCGAAGTCCTATCTTCGATTCTACATAGAAATATTGCATCGATTCTCGGTTGTTGCGTTGATTCCAACTACACTCCTCTAGTGATTTATGAGTATCCTGCAAATGGTACCTTAGAGGATCATTTACACCAGAAGTTCCAAATCAAAGGACAAAAACTCGGTTTGGATTGGTATAGAAGATTGAATATTGCAACCGAAATCGCTAGTACTATTGCATTGTTACATTATGATAAATCTCCTCCAATATTTCATCATAACCTAAAGTCAAGTTGCATATTCCTCGACGATGATTTTGCAGTCAAGATTGCAGGATTCGGACTAGTTAATTACGATTACACGAATTGCAAAAATCGCATATGCAAAAACGATGTATACGACATAGGTGTGATGCTACTTGAGATTATCTACGGATCAAATCAATTGGACTCACCTACATTAGCATTGAAGAAAATTAGGGACGGGAAGATCGAAGAAATTGTTGATCCGGTTCTTGATTATCACGAGCAACCGCATTATTGTCAAGAACAGATTCAGATTATTGCTGATCTTGCAACAAGATGTTTGCTGTTTGGTGCAGATGGAAAGATGGGAATGGTTGATGTTGCTAGGGAGTTGGTTCATTTGACTAAAGAGAGTGTTGATGGTGGAAATGGAAAACTTGTGCTTGAAGAAACGTTCTCGAATTCGAGTCTTCTTCAAATGATATCTATGTCTCCTGATTCAATGAATGTTCCTTAAATTTCAATTTTTCATTTTCTTAGTCACATGAAAATGTGATGCAAAAGTTATGTATGTGTGGATTAGAAGTTTCCTATTATTGTACATTGTTATCTTGTGAGTTTAGAAAGTTATGTGTCCCAAATTCTATTAGTTTGTTTGGAGAGTTATTTAGTTATTGGTTATTGCTCAGCTCTAAGCTCCAACTGCAATGCATTTCTTCTAGAATTCATAATCTATTTTTGTTCCAATCAACCCGTTTTACATCAATCATTGTCAGAAGTAGAATCTCTTGCACTAATATTAAAGCAAACTCTTGGAGTAAAAATACATTAGATTTTGAAGAAAAAATATCATTGTTGAGAGGAAAACGCAAAAAGAAAAAGAAAAGAGAATTCAACTCTCGAGTTTAGTTTCTTCCAACATCAATTTATGTGTAATATCATATAAGTGTTATTTTATATGTCTTTTTTATTTGAGAATGAGTATCTGAGATATTTGATCGAACTCTAGCATGGTTGAAGGGTAGTTTCTGTTCGACAGGAATCAAGCATGAGGTCGAAGTATGTTCGCATGCTGCTGTCGGAATAATGCGTGTTGTAGTCGAAATTTGTTCTAACATGCATTAGTCAATATTGCTAGGGTTGTTAGCATGTTGAATTGGGTCTTGCTTGTAAGCCCAATTATTTAAGTTAGCTTGTACCTTAAGTTAACTTGTAATGGGTAATTGTTAAAAAGCTCATTAGGTTAGTGTGCTATTTTTCTTATAAATAAGATGTTAGTTTCTCAATCTTAGAATAAGGAAAAATAGGAAGATAAAATCCTAATTTCAAGAGAGATGGGTTATTTTGTTATTCTTATATACTTGTAATATTGTTCCAAAAGTAAGGAAAGAATAGCTATTTATAACCAATCCTTGTTGTTCCTTATTGTTTTACCTTGTTTTCTTTATTAACCCTAACCCTTGTGAGTTTCTTGATCATAAAGAAACTGTTTATACTTTGTTTAAAAGTATCCGATTCACAACAAATTAGTGTGGTGAGCGTGGAGAAGATGCCTTCAACAAAGTATGAGATTGAAAAGTTCACCGGAGTGAACAACTTCGGTCTGTGGCGCTTGAAGATGAAAGCCCTACTGGTTCAGCAGTGCCGTTTGAAAGCGTTGAAGGGAGAGGCAGTCATGGACGTTGTATTAACGGCAAAAGAAAAGATGGACATGATTGAGAAAACCCACATCGGAATATTGTTGAGCCTTGGTGATAAGGTTCTTCGACAGGTATCAAAGGAGACTACAACATCGGGATTATGAGTGAAACTTAAAAGTTTGTACAAATCTCTGGTGAATCGACTATACCTGAATCAAGCTTTGCATTCATTCAAGATGAGTGAAGACAAAGTGTTGGCTGAGAAGTTGGATATGTTCAACAAGCTGATTCTTGATCTTGAAAATATTGATGTGAAGATTGATGATGAAGATCAAGCATTGTTGCTGCTGTGTGCTTTGCCCAGAACACATGCTCACTTCAAAGAAACTCTCTTGTATGGAAGGGAGTCCCTGACCTTTGAACAACTTCAATCAACCTTGTATTCTAAGGACTTAAACGAACGAAAGGAACATAAACCTTCGACAGTGGGCGAAGGTTTGGCCGTTAAGGGAAAATTCTTGCGAAAGAATGGTAAGTTCGATAAGAAGAAAGGTAAAAGTCAATATAAATCTTTTAGTGGCGAAACATCTGGTATTCGATGTTATCACTGTAAGAAGAAGGGTAACACAAGAAAGGTGTGCCCTGAACACCTGAAAGATCACAGAGGTAATGGCAACACAACCATTGTTCAAGATAACTTCGACTTATCTGATGTTCTTGTGGCTTCAAGTGGCGACTCGAGAAAAGAGTAGTTTATAGATTCAAGCTGCACTTGACACATGACTCCAAACAGAGAATTATTCGAGGAGCTATGTGATCAAGATGGTGGATTTATGCTACTGAGAAATAACAAATCTTGCAAAATTGCAGGTATTGGATCTGTGAGATTCAAGCTCCAGATGAGTCAATAAGGTTATTGACTGAAGTCAGGTATGTACCTGACTTGAAGAGAAATTTTATTTCTCTTGGTGAATTCGACAGAAAGGGATACTTTTTTCAAGGAGAGAAAAGTAGCCTAAGAGTCATGAAAGGGTCGAAGGAAGTATTGAGAGGCGTGAAGAAACGACTTGTATACCCTTGCGGCTGAGGTTGTAAGTGGTTCGACAAATGTTGCATCCATGAAACCTTTGTCGAAGACAAAATTATGGCACATGAGATTGGGCCATGTTAGGGAAAGAGTCCTAGTCGAATTGGGGAAGCTGAACCTGCTAGGAGGTGACAAAGTCAAAAAGTTGGAGGTTTGTGAATCTTGTGTATTTGGTAAATCCTGTAGAGTGAAGTTTAACATAGGAAATCAAAGAACACATGGATCCCTGGATTACATTCATGCTGATCTTTGGGGGCCTGCAAGGAATCCTTCATACTCAGGTGCGAAGTATTTTCTATCCATCATTGATGACTATTCCAGAAAGCTATGGGTATTCATCCAGAAGACGAAGGATGAAACCTTTGAGAATTTCAAAAGTTGGAAGATTCTGGTCGAAACTCAAACTGGCAGAAAGGTTAAGAGGTTGAGAACCGACAATGGCCTCGAATTTTAGAACGAAGCGTTTGACAGTTGCTGTGTTGAGTCTGGGATTACAAGGAATAATACTGTAGCAGGTACTCTTTAACAAAATGGCTTAGCTGAGAGATTCAATCGAACAATCCTTGAAAGAGTTAGATGCATGTTAGTTAGTGTTTGATTGAAGAAGGTGTTTTGGGCAGAAGCTGTTTCGACAACAACTTATCTGATAAATATATGTCCCTCGACTGCCTTGGGAATGAAGACACTTGAAGAAGTTTGGTCGGAACATCCACCTAGTCTTGACAGACTGAGAGTATTTGGCTATGTGGCATATGCTCATATTAGGCAAGACAAGATCGAACCTAGAGCTCTGAAATGCATGTTCATGGGATACCCTGAAAGAGTCAAAGCTTATAGGCTATGGTGCCTAGAGCCATGTCACAGGAGGTGTGTCACCAATCAAGATGTATTTTTTAATGAAGCAGAAATGGCTTTCAACAAAACTGATGATGCTGACGAAGAACTGGAATAGGGAGAGATTCCTATTGAGGTGGAACGCGTTGATGCTGAATTGCGTACCCCAAATGAAGTCGAAGAAGACGTAGAAGATGTTGTCGAAGATGAGGAGACTAACAATGACTACCTTCTAGCAAGAGACAGGTTGAGGAGAGTCATCAAGCCACCTCAGAGACTTCGGTATGCAAATCTTATAGCTTATGCCTTAACCTCTGCAAGTGAGGTTCTAGACGAAGAACCTAGAGACTATAAGAAAGTTATGTGGAGTCGAAAGAAGGCTGAATGGATGAAGGCCATGGATGATGAGATGAAATCTCTTCATGATAACAACACCTGGGAACTGATCAAGAAACTTTCTAGATCAAGGTTAGTCAGCTGTAAATGAATTTTCAAAGTTAAGCAAGGAATCAAAGAAGTGGCGTCGAAGAGATACAAGGCAAGATTGGTTGCTAGGGGGTTCACTCAGAAAGAAGGTGTCGAATTCAATGATGTGTTCTCTCCTGTTGTGAAGCACAAATTCATTCGAATGTTGCGTACCACAGTGGTACAGTTCGACCTTGAACTGGAATAGATAGATACGAAGACTACGTTCTTGTATGGTGATTTAGATGAAACAATCCTGATGAGACAGCCTGAAGGGTATGTCGAAAAAGGGAAGGAAGATTATGTGTGCAAACTGAATAGATCCTTATATAGGCTGAAACAATCTCCTTGGAAGTGGAATAGAAGATTCGACAAGTTCATGGCACGCATAAATTTCATCAAAAGTCAGTTCGACCACTGTGTTTACTTCAGATTTCGACCGGGTAATTCATTTGTTATTTTATTGCTCTATGTGAATGATATTCTAATAATAAGTAACAATGTAGAAGAGGTTATGAGGGTGAAGGTTGAACTCAACAAGGAGTTCGACATGAAGGATATGGGAGCTGCGTCCCGGATTCTTGGGATTAACATCTGAAGAGATAGAAAGCAGTCGAAATTATGCTTATCTCAAGAGGCATACCTACAGAAGGTTCTCGAAAAGTTTGGTATGTCGAATTCAAAGCCTGTTGTGACTCCGACAAACCCTCAATTCAAGCTGAGTATAGATCAGTGTCCCAACACTGATGTTTAAAGAACTTATATGAATAGAATTTCATATGCTAACATAGTAGGTTATTTGATGTATGTTATGGTTTGTATTATAACCGACATAACATATGCAATAAGTCTTGTAAACAGGTACATGGAGAATCCTGGAAAGGCTCACTGGAAAGCATTGAAGTGGATTCTAAGGTACATAAATGAGTCTCTGAATAAAGTCCTAATTTATGGTGGAGCCTTGGGGGAAGATAGTAAAACAGCAATCGAAGGATATTTCGACTCTTATTATGCAGGTTGTATGGATTCCAAAAAATTTATTTCTGAATATGTGTTCACTATGTTTGGGACAATAATCAGTTGGAAAACAACACTTCAGAAGGTTGTTTCTTTATCAACCATTGAAGCAGAATATATTTCTCCAACTGAATATGTGAAGGAAGCATTGTGGCTTGAAGGTTTTGCAAAGGAGCTAAAACTTCAAGGTCGAGTTATCACTATTAAATGTGATAGTCAAAGTGCAATAAACCCGTCGAAGAATTTAGACTATCCTGAGAGAACCAAGAACATTGATGTGAGGCTGCATTTCGTCAGAGGCGTAATCGAGCGTGGAAAACTCCAAGTGCTAAAGGTTTCGACAAATCATAACATTGTTGATATGATCACCAAGACGTTGCCCAGTTGCAAGTTTTTCCACTATATGCAGTTGATAAAGCTGCATGAAGCAAGCTAGTTCCTTTATTTTATAGAGTTAGATCCAATGTGGAGATT